CAGTGGTAGGCTGGACCCAGACCCGCACTCGATAACAAGAACAAAAGCGAAAATCGGCCAAGGCACGCCAGGCCGAGCGGCATACTCAGGTCGATTTTTGAGAAATTGCACCAATTGCGTGGTATTATTATTATTATTATTATTATTATTATTATTATACGCATTTCCGCGGCAGCGTCAATCAAGCAGTTATGCTTGATCCACACGTTCGCTTATGCTGGACATTGAAACAGAGCAGATATAGATAATATCTCCTAGAGAATGAGGCTTTACAAACCAATGACCAAAGTTAGTACTTCAGTAACATAGAGTAACATATCACGTATCAGACAACATGTGCCGTTGCACTTATTACCACCAGCAGCCAGGGCAAAGCGGCCAAAGCGTGGTAGGCCGTGTAAGAACCCAGTTAGCTCAGTAGACAAACACGCTGTGCCGACAGCACCGCCTGTTCCCGTGCCACCACCGGCCCCACCACCTGGGGTGCCGTGGGTGGCTGGGGCTGGGGTGGGTTTGCCATCAGTGACCTGGCCACCACTTCTCGACCCACGGCGAACAGCAGCGGAGCCTACTCTAGCACAAAATCATCGTCCTGGGATGGAGGAGGGGCCACCGAGAGACACTGAACCCTCACCTCGGCAGTTGCCCTTGCCTCCGCCTGAGCCACCCAATTTACATTTGGTGACTACCGAGACGGTGGTCCCCCGGTGCTGGGATCCACGGTGCCGACGGTGTCTGGACAGAGAGGGAGATCATCGACAAACCAAAATGAAACCAATATCCTTACCCATAGACCCAGAAGAAGCACAGCTAACTATTCACTTGAAATTTATGCACGGAATGGACTTGGCCCACGCAAAATGGACAGTGGAAATGGGTGTGTAGTAGCTGAGAACCCAGCAACGGTGACGCGGAGCAGCGGTCAAACGACTTGTGATGCTGGTGGAGATGATGGAGCCATGTTGGAGGCTGATAAGGAGTGCAGTGAGACTGAGCATCAAACGGATGATGAGGAAGTGACTGATGATGATGATGGTGGTGATGAAGATGAGATGGAGGACGAGGATGAGGAGGAGGAGGTTGAAGGAAAGGAGCGAGATGAGAGCGACGTGAGCAAAAAGTCAGATGTATTTTGTCACTTGTTATCACGTCCAGATTGTCTTAGTGTGTACGATGATTCTCACTTTACTGTTTTGTGCCGTGCAAGTTATGTTAAGCAGTTGAAGGTTCTGGAAGCTGTATGTATTCGTGTGCATAATCCTGTTCTTTGTAAACAAAAGAAGCATGTAGTCGCGCTTAAGTTGTTCTCGTAGCTGGTTATCAGAATAAATGTCGTGTCATACTGCACTGTATCACCTCATGCCTTGTGCCGGCACTCATTATGTTAGCACTATGTTTGACACCTATTATGTAATGCTGTAGCACTTCCTTTGTTGTTCACACTTGCGTGGTATGCGCGCATAAAAAAGAGAAAAAAGAGCTGTACTGATTGCTGTACATCGATAGCTGGGAATTGAACCCGGGACCTCTCTTACACAATGCATAGACACTACCAATCGGCAAACAGACCTGAAGACTGAAGATAGGTGCCATTAGTTTGTATATAAGCGCATGACGTACTAGAACGTCATCCGTGGGGCACTGTGAGGTTTTATGACGTACTAGTACGTCAACCGCGCTCAAGTCAAGGGGTTAACAGCTTGCAAGGCTCTCTTACCGGCATGCAAGCCCACTATTAATAATTTTCATTGTGCTGTGGTGGACATGGAAATCCAGTCGATTGACGGAGGCGCGTACAGAACGCCCTTGCACGCAGTGTACATGTTGATCCGATGCGACCAGCGAGCTGCAACGCATACATGCATACGTGTACTACTTATCCACGGCTGCATGGCCTGCGCCCTGGGTCAGCTAAACGTGCGACTGGATTTGAGTGTCGACGACAGAATCCTCCGCGCTCGGTCACTACTACAAGTCCTTAGACAAGTGTTAGTTAGTAGAGCACATTTTCTCTTTGCCCTTTCCGTGTTTGGAGTTCGATTGTGCTACTCCTTGTCTCAAGGTGTCTTGTATCGTCCAGTTTAGCAGTGCCGTGTGTCGTCTTGCATCGCCTTGTGTGTCGCCTTTCTACGTTAATCTCGGCCCAGCTACAGAGCAACAGCCCCACAGGTAAGGTAAGCGACTGTGTGTGTGTGTGTTTTTTTTTGTGTGCTATAACTACTACAGTACCTTAAAGTACCGCCAGAGCCCTTTCCTAAAGATGTCAAAATATTTCGCAACTTATGCTTTTCGCAACCATGCCAAAACAAGCGAAAGTTGCTGAAAAAGCATCCATATTTTCAGAAAAAGCTCGAAAGTTGCTGATATCACAACTCAAAATGAGCGAGTTCTTGTGCATAATATCATAGCATCATTGATTAGTGCTTGCTACAACCATCTGCGCCTTGGATCCTAGAGTGTGGTGACGTTCCCACGGCGGATGCGGAAAACTCCGCTTCCAGCCCAGGCTCACGCGAACCGTGAATTTTTTTATACTTCGAGTATTTTTTACTTCAACCATCCACGGTTGGCAGAGCCGGTTCAAATGATTGATTGATTTTATTTTACTTCGCAAGTTCAAACGGGTTCCAGGCCCAGTTATATGAAAGCGAAGGATAGAATTTGCCAAAATCCTAATGAGCAACAGCATAGGCAATATTATCATAGAAGTGGAGTACTATGCGAGCGAGAATACTGAGAAGAAAAGGAACATGTCAAAACCTGACGAAACACAACTTATTCCAGGCATACATAAGGAAGGCAGGCTAGCTTAAAATCTTGAAATATGGATACGGTGTGCACCTCTCTATGCAAACTGTTCCACAGCAATGCTCCTACGGTGGCGAATCTCGTTTGGCCACACCAACTGCAAGCTGGCTGGCTGAGTAGAAATGGTCGCAAGACTGAGGCTCTGCCAACCGTGGATGGTTGTAGCAAGGTCACTGTTTCCAAACACAGTGGTCCTCCGCCTTGTAACATGTTGTTGTTGACTTTCATTTTTACTTCACCAATGGCACAGGCATGATTGCCTTCTCACCGTCCCATAGGTCCGGTTCTCACAGAAAAATGAAGGATGCTGTCAACCTACAATGTATGTATAATTATGTACATGACTTTCGTTACATTTGGTAGATGTTCTTCGAGAAGTACACTTGTTATGATGATTTGATGCAATTGTTCAGCGCTTCTTGTTGAAGCGGAGCATCACGGACACTTCAATGGTCTCCTCCAAAGCGCTTCTCTGCTCACGGTTGCGGAAAGTTGCGAAGTAGTTCGTGAAAATGAAGAAAGTTGCGAAAGTTGCGATCTCTTCCAAAACAACCAAAAGTTGCGAAATGAGTGGCGAGCATCTTTGGGAAAGGGCTAGCCCCGTCTCGCGAAACGCCCGCCTAGATTTTACAGCCAGGGATAGGAAAATATGTGAGTTAGTTGAGTGTTTACACCTTGCGCCGGTATCGTCTCTATAAAATAGCATCATTGAAAGTCGATAACTCTATCCTTTATCGGCGAATCTAATGCATCGATAAATGCTTCCTTCGCAATATTGTCCATGACTTCTGATGTCGCGGAAGGATACGCACGAGCAGTCATCAGTCTTATGTCAGTGGCGAGTTTTACTAAGCATTTGTTTGGGGATAGTCTACGATGGCGCAAAGACGAGTTCTCCTTTGGCAAGAAATGGTGGATGCAGGCGGAAACAAGTCGGACTTAATTGGCTCGGCTGTAGTACAGGCATCCAACAGCTAGCACCTTGACAAATTGCACACACTGCCCCACTATGCAATAGTCATCTAGCACTCAGCTTCACACAATTCTCAGCCGGCCAGTTGGCCCATTGATTACATGTCAGGGGTCCCGCTAAGCCTTACATTTGTGTCTGCCTGCATCCACCTTAAATTCCCATTATGCTTTGACCAGTCTGCATTGAATATTGTTTGCCTGATGATTGCACACGGTGCATGATACTCAGAGTAGCAAAACACTACGAGTGATCCATTGTTTGTTGACATGTGTCATTGCTCCCCCAAGAAATTGGATGTTGAGCACTTTTTCTGCAGCTGCAGGCATAGTCTTACTGAGTATGTATGTATGTATGTATGTAGATGTATCCTTGATTTTACTTCGCAAAATCAAACGGGATCGCCGCCCAATAGTACTTTGACAGCATATGTTTTATTAAAACTATTATCTCCACGGAAATTGTTTGTATATTTTAAGTCGAGATACACGAGACAACAGAAACACATTCTGAAAAATGCCCTGCGAAAGCGCCATGTTTGTAATTGTCTTTCACTGAATGTTTCAATAATATTATTTTTATAAAAAACACATACATGTCGAACAAGTAACGTAGTTGCGTGATGTCTGCGGCCTTCATCCTATTCATAGCTATAGCATGATGGCCTTTTTCAATCTGCACATAATGACAACTCCATTCACGATCATCTTATACCCATACTCATCTATGCTCTCCGCAATCCGTAAATGTGACCAGCTCACATAGCCTCGCCTTGCTTGCCGGATCCCTGCCAGCTAGGCTTGCACTTGCACGCACGACCCCAACGCACCTCACTCTGTCTGTGAAATTAGCTCTCCTTCAGTCCTTCCCTCCCCTTTTCGATCTAAAATAAACAATTGAAGTTAGACAAAGTTACCCGCTCCTTTGGAGATGTATTCTTTTGCCTCAGGATGGTATGTCCCGGGAACCAGCTGTCTCCACGTGAGTCGATAGGACCTCTCCCATCTTGGTTGCCTAAAGTAGTAGTACAATAACATACTGTACGTTCAGGCATGAGATAATACCCAACGGAACGTGATCAATTATTTCAGGAGACGCAAAACACCAAGTTGTGTTGCAGCAGAAACGCTTATCCGATTTTCGATTTGCTATTTTCCCTCTGAATTCTCTCTGTACAGCAGTTTCCGCTCCTTTAACTCCAACAGCTCCTTCCCAGACAACGATGGTCACGCCAGTTGATGATGTCAGGGTGGAGGTTGGAAAGAGCCAATCCGCTGCATCCACTTCCACAGAGGATGGACCCTGTCGGGCTGCAGGTAACGTAAAGTTGCGGAAACATAGAGCTGTGTTCCCACAGAAAACAGTCAAGAGGTTGGAGTACATCTTCAAAATCCAGAAACAGATATCCGCAGTGGAACGACGGGCACTGGCGAAAGTACTGAATCTAACGGAGACCCAAGTCAAGACCTGGTTCCAGACTCGACGCTACAAAGAGAAGAAAAGTTCCAAGGAGTCAACAACCAATGGTGAGGATATTGCCCATACAACTGTAATGGGCGGGCCAGCTGCTTATGGCAGTTATGCCAACCATTATCCCCGGCCACCACACATGCACTACCCAGCTCCAATATATGGTATGAATACTATGTTCAGTGGTTACCAGTTCAGCCACGGGCAACTGCAAGCAGCACAACCTGGATTGGCTCAAGGGCAGGCTGGCGTTGCCATGGCAGCAGCCATGCCACAAATGCCAATGACAGCACAGCAGCAAATGCAGGTCAAGACATCAGCTATGTCTGGAGCTCATGGAGCTCCGCCTTCTGCCATGGCAGCAGCCATGCCACAAATGCCTATGACACCACAGCAGCAAATGCAGTTCCAGACATCACCTATGTCTTGGGCTCGTGGAGCTCATGGAGCTCCGCCCTCTGCCATGGCAGCAGCCATGCCACAAATGCCAATGACAGCACAGCAGCAAATGCAGTTCCAGACATCACCTATGTCTGGGGCTCGTGGTGCTCCACCGTCTGCCATAATGCAGCAGCAGTAATACGCAATGCAGATGCCACCTCCAAGAACAACCAGTTCACCACAAACTGCATATACGCACTCCAGTGGCTCGTGTCACATATGTGACATCATTGCCCGAGGTTTGGATTTCAGATTAGCACAGTGACAGACTGGTCTTATGGAGTACCACAGGGGTTGGTTTTATCTCCACTATTCTTCAGCCTGCTGTATCTATGTATTTATTTATTTATTTTATTATATAATATTTTTGTATTTGGTGCTTGATCCTGCCGTTGATCCCGAGACCCATGGTCGGGGGAGGTAGGCCCAATTCACCAGCACGCTGCTCCGGCTTCCCACTGTATTGTCATGTCTCCCCTTTGGTTCTGTCTTTCCATTCCGTCTCTGCTGGACTGTGTATTTCAGTATAAATTTATATTTCTCGCGCAACAAAATTATTTATCTTGCGAATACGGAATCTGGTGTTTTCTCTTTTTGTTGCTGTTAATTTTGATTGACTCCTTCAGTCAGTTTTTTTGTGTCTCATCAGTGTCCCCACCCTCCAACCCTTCATGTCAACCCATCGAACTTCCCTTTCTTTCTTGGCTGTAGATATGTTGTGCATCGTTTTATGCTGCCATGTTGCCACTTGGGGTTATACACCCGGTGTTTTCCCTCATCCGTGCGTCCGTCGGCGCGAGGGTTTTTTCCCGGCTGGCTCGGTCCAGAGAAATTAATCTGACGGTCCCAGGTGGTGCTTGTTCTGCCTTATTTATGTTAGGCAAATGTACTCATTCTTTCTTCCTTGTGTCTTTCCCCCTGTTGTTGCTCCTAGTTTTCTTCTGCATTCCCGTTCACATCTGGCTGCGGCCTACTACCCTCACCCTGTGTGCTCCTGTCTCTGTTGTCTGGGTCCATGTCGTTATGTCGGTGTACATAGAGCGAGAACAATAATATTGTTTTATATAATACATATAATTGTTCTACCCAATGCTGTAGACAGCAAGCTGTTTCGGTCATATAGGCCTCATCAGTACAGCTACCAGATAAGTAGGCCGAGCTACCAGCCGTGGTGCAAAGGAGGCACGACAAACATTAAGGGGGCAGACTGGTCGTAAAATCCTTGAAAAGTCGAATTTGTAAATTCATATCGAGTGCTACATCAGTTGAAAGAGCATGAATAGCTGCAAAATCTCTGAAAAGTTTGTCTCGATCTGACTACTTGTAGCTGTTCAAGAGTTATGGCCGAAAATGTGCCCTTGCAAGGAAAGATGTTTTTGTTGCGCGCTGTTATTTTTTGGCAGCACTGTATTTGAATCTGAGCAGACCGTGCGCAACTTGTCGTATCATAGAAACACGCGAAAGTTTGCAGAGGTTTGCTCCAAGTCCAAAAACATCACGTTTTTAGCCACGTGTTGGGCTGCACGGACTTTTGCCAACACTCTCGTGACGTTGCAGATATGTGGCTTGATTTTTGTTATTGACGTTGATTTGGTGCCTTTGGCAACTTTGAGTCGTGTCAAGAAGTCAGGTAGGATTCAGTATACTAGGCAGTAGAGGAACGTGAGTGGAAGTCTTTGCCGATTTTTGAGGGTATCCTGCATTTGGTGTGCATCGCTGTGGAATTGGCTTGCTGTGGAGGTCCCAGCACCGGATGATGTGTCAAAGGGACGACCTCGTAGTACGTGCTAAACCTAAAAAAAATTCAAAAATTTACTTGGGTCTGTGGGAGTCTGTGAGAGAACGCCCACTCGTTCCTTTGTGACAGATTCCAGGGCCACGTTGAGGGGCCTACCCTACCACCCATGGCTGCTTCTGGACTTGTTTTAGGTTTGGATCCCGCGCACGGACAGAATGGGCACGAAAATGTGAAAATATTGTAAATGCAAATAATCTAGAAGAGAAAAGGACATAATAATGGATACGAGTTAAGAGTAACTCTTCATCACTGTAACATGATACTATATACAGTCAGAAAGTGCAATAACTAGGCACAAAACTGACAGAGTACTGAAACATTCGACGTCCTGACACCTAACTTCAAGGTTATGGAAAGACCAAAGAGGGGAAGTTTTGTGCCTAGTTATTGCACTTTCTGAGTGTATATAGTATCATGTTACAGTGATGGAGAGTTACTCCTAACTCGTATCCATATGTCCTTTTCTCTTCTACATTTATTTATGGCTCAATATCCGAGTTGCAAATAATCTACGTGGAGATGAAAGTTTAATAATAGCTATGAAAAGTATGAATGGATTTTGGAATTTTGGAATTACACAAAACCAAACCTTGAACAAATTGTCATGTTTCGTGGTGATGTCTGCGGCATTCATAATTTTCATAGCTAATATTGTAAATGCATTTTATTTGCTCCTGGGTGGCTCGTACACCGTGGCACTATGCCGGAATTTTGAGTTTTTCCGGTCTGGAAAGCCTTTCAGTGAGGTGCAAGAACTTGTAAATCATATCCAAAGGACCGCATAGTGGCAGGAGTGTGTGGTGAAATTTTCACTCAAATCCATTGAGAGACACCAAATTTACGGTCAATTGAATGTCATAGGAAATGTATGGGTAGGCTGCCCGCTATATTAAAAGATGGCGCGTCGCTCTAGCGCCAGAGTGTTCAAACTACAAAACGTAGCGGGCATTGCGCGATGCAGCAGCACTAGAGCAGCCTATTGAGAGTGCTCAACAAGGCGAAATGCTGTAGACAGCAAGCTGTTTCGGCCATAAGGGTCTCATCAGTACAGCTACGAGCTAAGTAGGTGGAGCTACCAGCCGTTATGCACCGGCGGATTATGCCGGCATAATGCTGTAGACAGCAAGCTGTTTCGGCCATAAGGGTCTCATCAGAACAGCTACGAGCTAAGTAGGCGGAGCTACCAGCCGTTATGCTCCGGCGGATTATGCCGGCATAATTATTGGCATAATTTGGTGGATGAAAATTTGGAGCATAATTTGGCATCCTTTCGGAGGGAGGAGCATAACTACATGATTTTACTAAAGTTCTAGTATGTAGGCTACACAATTGTGTACAATGCACCTGATCAGTGCTGGTGGTATGCAGGGTAGAGGGATCGGAGGTCATACAGTCAGTATTTTTAGTGAAAAGCTGGCTAGAAATTATGACAATGCTGTTGTATGCTCGATATCATTTTGTGTGCCTAATTTCATGTCGAAATCCATTTTAGCAATCCGCATATCTCTCCCCCCCCCCCCTCTCTGTGTCTCTGTCTCTGACACACACACACACACACACACACACACACACACACACACACACACACACACACACACACACTCTCTCTCTCTCTCTCTGTCTTGTTGTTGTTGTTTCAAATCTCTCTTCAAACCATCTAATTCGCAAGCCCGCGCTGAGGACAACAAAATTGAAGAAGAGGTTGGTGCAACTTCGGCGATACATGGGGAATTGGGTGTTACTCCCTGCATGGGAGCTAGCGCTATTCCTGCCGACTTCAATTTTCATTTGACTGACTCGCGACTGCCATGCCATCCAGAGTACACGAGAAGTCCATCGAACCGTCCACTCTGCAAACCTGCAAGAAATCACCACTACCTGCTCAATACACAGTGTTTCGGGGAATTCACCCCTCATCAGTTGAGCTTGAGCAGGCTGAGGAAGATTGTGCCTCACGTACACCGAACGAGACTGATCGAAGAATCGCTAAGATCGCCGATTTTGGAGAGTTCCTTTTAGAATCACCGAAAATCTACCAAATGTAGTTGCAAAGTGCGTTCACGAACAAAATTTAATCATGTTGCTGCAATGCCCGCTCGAGCTCTCTACTTCAGTACTTGTAGTACTAGTGCGTTGACGTCATGTGACACGTGTCCTTTTGGACCTCCTCTCAAAGAAACATTAGTCATTAGGAAGATCATTACTAGTAAAATCCCCAAATCGGCCGCCCGTAAATTCGCCGAAAACGAGACTTATCGAAAAATGGCAAAGCTTTTCGCGGATTTTGGAGGGTTTCTCTGAAAATCGCCGAAATCTACCAAATCTTCCAATATCTCACCAATTTTGGGGACAATATGCCAACAATTCTTTTAGCCGAGTTTCCAATATATTCCAATTTTGCAGCCGATTTTCGAGCAATCAGCTGATTTTGCAGCTGAACCTGATGTATTTTGACCTTAGCGAGAAGCCGAATAGGCGAAAAACGGGTCAATGTTGGGAAATCCTATCCACCAGTACTTTTGTCATGGCCAAGAGAAGGTCTTGACAACCTTTATGATGTTGTTGGGATGTCAGTTTTTGTGTTTTGTTTGTTTGTTCAGTGGTAGAGGCACATGTATTTTATGGAGTGATCCGGGAATTTTTACTTCTCATCATCACTAGTTCCGTACATGTAGCTACTTTCGTGTGTATAGCCTGCGTTCTTGATATCGAGGTCAAACATGGTTCAGCTTGTATTCCGTATTCGTTGTATTCATTATATTTTCGAACATTGCACTCATTGTGTTTTTTCCCGTGGAAGAGGTCCATTGAATCTCCCGTGGAAGAGGTCCATTGAATCCTATTTTGTAACTAAACTTGTACTTCAGGTACTATGATTCACTGAAAACTGGAGAACAGTCACAGAGCTGGAGCAAGAAACATTGGACGTGAATCTAAAACATACGTGGCGTAGCTTGTGACATGCAGAGAGAACAAAGACAAAATGGTGCAGAGTGCTTTACGAATAGGTTTTTCATTTGACCCGAGGAGAACACACGACGCTAGGAGACAACAGCACGAACGGTTCACCAGCCATATACCACGAAAGCAAGTAACTTAGTGTTACTCCTGACAAGGCTTGCTTCGTTCCATAAAGATACCGGGAACTCGTCAGAGGTGAAGCAGTGGTGGAATGAATGGGGTTAAACGATACTGGCGCAAGGTGTGAACACTCAGCTAACTCACATATGTGACAAATCAGCACAAAAGGAATAGTGTAGAATGGAGGCGTTATGAACCCTACCAGACATAACTATCACAAGTGCTAAGTCAATTAGAATGAGAGGGAGATGTACACAGGAATAGGTGGTGCTAGTTTACACGTCACAAAGAGAACTGGGGTGGGGACAAAGAAAGGTGAAAAGTAGACGCCAAGTATTCCGAACAGCACCTCCATTCTAAACTATTCCTTTTGTTACCAAGAGGCAATGGCAGTCCCGAAGCTGAATTTGATCAAGTGTGTGTGTTTACTTCGCTCTTGAGGCATTGTTTGATTCATTCAGTTTGGAGAAAGATACTTAGTTCCAATTGTCCAACAGCCGAAATGTCAATAACGCGGTTCGGATAACCCAGCCACCTTCCACCATGTCCATACCGCCAGTCAAGAACTGGGCTGCACCTTCCCAAGACATCACGATTGCAATTGCGGACAACAAGGGTACCGTCATTCCGACGCCGCATTCGTTTGTTTTGCCACCGCAACAGCCCACTCCGTTCAGTGGCAATGCTGAGACGCCTGTGAACGCCGACGTCAGACGAGATGAGCTCAATCGACATCAATCTGGTGAGGCATCGCTTTGCGTTTCGTTTCTTAATTAAAGTCTGTTCGGATGCAAGCCACTAGCAGTATAACTTTGCGGCCTGTAGTTGAGCACTACCAGCTAGGCACCGGCGGATTATGCTGTCATAATTATTGCCATAATTTGGTGGTTGAAATATTGCTGCATATTTTGGCACCCTTTCGGTGGTAGGAGCATAACTACATGTACATGATGGTACCATAGTTCTAGTATGTAGGCTACACAATTGTGTACAATACACCTGATCAGTGCTGGTGGTCTGCGTGGAAAAGGGTTCAGAGGTCATGCAGATAGTTTTTTCAATGAAAAGCATGGCATTACATTATTGTATGCTCGAACTCGTCTTCTTCAAAGTTCTTTCTCACACTAATACAGGACTTGTAGCAGAATATGTGTGTGAATCAGCCTTTATCAGGTATCCTGGTGCGGACTAGATAGTGACGGGTAGTCCGCAAAACTCCGCGTACATGTACAATTATGCATGATACGAAGTCATAACCGTTCTGGCTCTGGATTTTGGCAGCCATGACTGTGCAGGCTATGGATATTGCTCTGATATTTAAAAAAAATGATGACTGTGTTGTTGTTGTTGTTGTTGTTGTTGAAATCTTTGACATCATTACGTGCATTGTACGTAATATGTGTCACCAAGCTATTACACATAACCTTCCATGTACCACACACTGCATATTTGGCATTATTTGCACGCCAACGTCATACATTCACGTAGGTCCGCTTCTCTTGTGGTTTGCTCTGCTTGACCAAGGGCAGTGCTTACGCAATCCCCGCTAGTGCTACGCTGCATCTTAGTGTATCATTGTAATTTAGAATAATTCTCTTACACAGGCAGTGACTAGGCACTGCCGGATTATGCCGGCATAATTCTTGGCATAATTTGGTGGTTGAAAATTTGGAGCATAATTTGGCATCCTTTCGGAGGTAGGAGCATAATAACATTATTGTATCACAGTTCTAGTATGTAGGCGACACAATTGTGTACAATGCACCTTATTAGTGCTGGTGGTCTGCATGGTAAAGGGTTCGGAGGTTATGCAGATAGTGTTTTCAATGAAAAGCAGGGTAGAAATCATGGAATACATTTTGTGTGCTCGAACTCGTCTTCTCAAAGTTCTTTCTCACCCTGATACAGTACATGTGGCAGAAGATGCGAGTGAATCAGCCTTTATCAGGTATCCCGGGGTGGACGAGATAGTGATGGGTAGTCCACAAAACTCCGCGTACATGTACACTAAGCTTGTTACGAAGTCATGACGTCTGGATCTTAGCAGCTATGACTGTGCAGGCTATGGATATTGCTCTAATAAGTAATAACTAAACAAATTGAGGTATAGTTGATGTTCAGTAATGATGGAAGGAGAGCTGGAGCTACGGGAGAGATGAGCTGATTATGAGAATTCGCAGGGTTAGGGTGACATCGGTTGGACGAGTATGACGATTACAAAGACAGTTGATCATGACAGTTTTCAAAGGTAAGGAAAAAATCTTTCAAAGCAAATGAATAGAAGAAGTAATGATTTCTCTTTTCCGGATTGATCTCTAGTATGCATGGACACCTTGGTATGGGGATACTCATGTATTTTTTGTACTTGCAAGTGCGAAAATGTCACAATTTTCCTAACTTTGAGGCTCCATAAGCACAACAAAGTGAATATGTATCCCCGCGTGCCAAAGCATAATATGAGGATTTTGCGAGCATAATGCGAGAATCCATGAAAGCATAATTCCGTTATTTCGCGGGCATAATCCGCCGGTGCCTAGCAGTGACAGAACATGATATCACTGACCTGACCTAACATTTACAAAGAAAAAGCAAAACACGATTTATAGTGAAGAAAAAAGGATCAAGAAAGCACAAGTTACTAAACAATCAGCTCATGCGATAACGTTGCACGAAACTGACCGCCGGTACGGACGGTCTACAACTAACTGGCTAACAGCTCTAGCACAGCTTGGATGCGCACTCCAACAGCCTGCCAACGTACTTGGAAGGTTCTAAGTTATAGAAATAACATGAGCAGGGGAAGGTGAGCGCCACCAAGACAAGCAACGAGCTGTAAGTCTTAGCTGTGAAGGACATTGGCGGATGTTCATGCATGTTGATGACGATACTGGCAAGTCCACTGGACAATACGGTCAAACCACGGTTCAAGAACCCAAAGCAACATTCCACACAACTTGTGTGACTCAAAGATGCGAAGATCATGTTATTGTTATGACATAGAACCTTCCAATTAGGAAGGCTGTTGGAGTGCACCTCCAAGATGTGCTAGAACTGTTACCCAGGTAGTTGTAGAATGTCAGTAACGTCGGTCGGTGCCGTGCAATGTTATGGCAGGAGCTGATTGTTAAGTAACTGGTGGTGTTGGCGGACATTATAGCGTAACTTGTGGTTTCTTGGTCCTTTTTTTCTTTACTGTAAAATTATCCTTGGCTCTCAATACTAGTCAAGACACGATTGTTGTTTAAAGAAAAAGAAGATGAAACTTGACAATCTGCCCATAATGACAACTGCAGTGAAACCTGTCTAAGACGACCGCTCAAGGGACCTTCAAAATGTGGTCTCCGTTACCAAATGGTTTCCTTGTCCATGGTCAGTTGACTGCAAATAGAATCCCTTGGTCCTGGCTGCAGTGGTTTTCTAGGACAGGTGGTCGCCTTATCCGAGTGGTCGCATTGACAGGTTTTACTGTACATTCATGATAGTCTTATACCCCATACTCGTCTACGCTCTTAGCAATCCGTAAATGAGACCAGCTCACCTAGCCTCGCTTTTACAGCCTCATCCTTGCGGGCTAGGTTTTTGCTTGCATACATGACCCCAATGCACTTCACACTGTCCGTAAAATCATCTCTCCTTCAGTCCTTTCTTCCTCTTTTTGCTGTAAAATAAACAACTGTCGTTAGACAAAATTGCCTTCTACCTTGGATTTGTGTTCTTAGGCCCCAGGATTATATGTCCCGGGAACCAGCTGTCTGCACGTGAACAGATAGGACCTCTGCCATCTTCGGTGCGTAAAGTGGTATTGCAATAACATGCTGTACTTTCAGACATAAGATAATACCCAACGGTACGTGATAAATTCAAGAGACGCAAAACATCAGGTTGTGCTGTAGCAGAAACGCTTATCCTATTTTTCGATTTGCTATCTCCACTCTTGGTTCTCTCTGTGCAGCAGCTTCCGCTCCTGTCACTGCCACAGCCACTCCCTGGGCAACGCCGGTCGCGCCTGGAAATGATGTCAGGGTGGAGGTTGGAAAGAGCCAATCCGCCTCGTCCACTTCCACAAAGGATGGATCCTGTCGGGCTGCAGGTAAATTAAAGTTGCGGAAACATAGAGTTCTGTTCCCACAGAAAACAGTCAAGAGGTTGGAGTACATCTTCAAAATCCAGAAACAGATATCCGCAGTGGAACGACGGGCACTGGCTAAAGTACTGAATCTAACGGAGACCCAAGTCAAGACCTGGTTCCAGAATCGACGCTACAAGGAGAAGAAAAGTTCCATGGAGTCAACAACCAATGGTGAGGATATTTCCCATACAACAGGAATGGGCGGACCAGCTGCTTATGGCAGTTGCGCCAGCCCTTATTATCCCCGGCCACCACACGTGCACTACCCAGCTCCACCATGTGGTATGAATGCTATGTTTAGTGGTTACCAGTTTAGCCACGGGCAACTGCAAACAGCACAACCTGCATTAGCTCAGGGACAGGCTGGCGTTTCCATGGCAGCACCCATCCCACAAATGCCAATGCAAGCACAGCAGCAAATGCAGTTCCAGGTATCAGCTATGTCTGGGGCTCATGGAGCGCCACCCTGTGCCATGGCAGCAGCCATTCCACAAATGCCAATGCCAGCACAACAGCAAGTGGAGTTCCAGGCATCAGCTATGTCGGGGGTTCATGGAGCTCCACCCTCTGCCATGATGCAGCAACAGCAACAGGCATTCCAGATGCAACCTCCTGGAGCACCCGGTTCAGCAGCAACTATGCCAAGTCCCTCTTCGTACTCTACTCCTTAGTAGTGTTGAGAACTCGCGGCCCACACGCAGGCAACAGAAGGAGAAGTTCTTGCTTACACGAAAGACTTGAGATTAAGAGAATGAGAGAGCACGAAATACTGAAGTAATTGAAGGTTATCAAGGGCCTGTATTACGAAATACCGTTCGTCTATTATTTAACCATGTCGCATTTGGTTCTTGTCTCGTGGAGTCCCGTGTCTTATGTCATAATAATATGGTTTAAGTGTCCGTGCGAGTATGGTATGATGTGTGACGTTTATGGTACAGTATGTGGTACATGCAAGAGTACGCGCTGTCAGAGTGTGAGAATCTGCTTCCGAGTGACAGTGACTGTCAAGTGAATGCTGTACGTGGGCAATGCTAGTTTGGACTGGGAGTGAGAGTGATTTGTGATTCGTCCGTGGTCAAGTTGTTTTGGTCTTGGTCATGTGTTCTGTACGTAATTCGTCCCTGATTGGTCGTCCCGATTTGTCGTCTCTTTATTACTGCTTGTTCTTTGTTGTTTCTTGGTGTTTTTCCTTGTCTTTTTGTCGTGTATTGTTTCGTCTTTCTCCTCCTGCGCCCTCACCGTTTATTATTAATTTTTTATAATATTTTTAATAGTCCACTATATTCCCGAGTATGTGCGAGAAGTGGTGGCGGGGCCAGGCTGCTCTGCCGACCTTAAATGTCTCAGCATCTACGCAGACAAAGCGCGCTATAATGCAGCAAAACCATGAGGAGGGGAGGAAGAGAGGAAATGAATAATACTGTAGTGAGGAACGAGGACAATGGGTAGATGGTCGTGAGAGACGCAGAGTGAAAGATAGCCTCACTTTTTGGTGGGGGGGGGGGAGGGCGGAGGATGCTATTGAGGCGCTGGTCTAAACCGTTTCATAGGGCGTCGGTGGTTGCTTGCCAGTTCAAGTGCAGCAGATACTTGTCGCATTTTTCCTTGAAGGATTGGAGCTGTTTGGAATGCGGCCGTTCTGGTAGAATGGTCGCTGGTAGGCTGTTCCACAAGAGAATGATGCAGTCTGGGTAGGAACCCTGGAGGCTGCTACGAATGCGCACGAGCAGCGTCGACTTGAATTGGAGCGGGTGGTAGTTGGCAGTCTCCGTGGGTAACCTAGTGGATCGACCACCCACTGGGCGGGGGTTAGCTGGAGGTGGGAGGATGGGCTTCAGGGGGCTTGTTGTTGGAAGGTAGGATAGCTTGAAAGTGAACGAAAGCGCAGCAACCAATGGGCGGTGTTTCAGGCTGGGGAGCCAGGCGCCTGGGTCAATCACCTTCAGTGCCTTGAGCTGTATGTTGTCCAGCCTCGAAGTGCATGATCCCATCCCCACCAGGCAGCAGTATTCCATTGTTGGCCGCACGAAGCCTTTGTAGACTGCCGTGCGGCCGCTAGAGGCCAACAGGTGTGCAACTTTTCTCAGGAAGTGTAGGCGTTGGGCAGCCTTTGAGGCCACGGCGCGGAGGTGTGATGAGTAGGACAGTTGCGATTCGAATGTCATGCCGAGAAATTCAATTTCCTTCTCTTCAGGAACAGTCACTCTATTGAAGAGCGCTGGGGGAGGCTTGAGGTGGTCGATGATGAGGGCCTAAGATTTGGATGGCTCGAAGGTGACCTTCCACTTGGAACCCCAGTGGGAGACGGCGTCCACTGCTTCCTGGAGTTGTGCTGCAGAGTCGGATATGCGGGCGGTGGCAGAGATGCACTGATACAGTGTCGTGTCATCTGCATAGGTGGCAAGCTCAGCACCAACAGGCAAGGTGTCCTCGCAGTCATTTACATGCAGGAGGAATAACGTAGGTCCAAGGATGCTACCTTGTGGTACCCCTGCTTCGATATGGTGTCAGCATGCGCCGCTTACTTCCGCACCATGCTCTCCTTATTTCAATGTGCACTGCAGCCATGTAGAACTAGGTGGCTTTCCCTTTTGGTATACATGTAGTTGTACCAGGACCCTATTCAGCATGTCAGCAGTTTCGTCGTTCCTTGCCTTTTGCCTTGCTCCCATTATTTGTCTCTCTCCCTCTTCGTGAGCCGGTTGGTTGCGCTTGTAGATCTCTCTGCGTTTTGCAGTTATGATTACCGTTTCAATCAAATCGTTGTGTGAATACGGGCAAGGACTATGACTGTAAGAGTTGTTGTGTATCACACAGTGTTGCAACGTTTACAACCAGTCACTGTTGCTGTCGCATCCACTCGTATGTCGCATCTACTCGTAGTCCACGTCCACTGATGCCGACCGAGGTAGCTCTCTTGCTACTGTGCTGCTGTGTAATACTGACATGTACCCAGCTAAAGTCTCTGCTTCGTTCAGGGAATTCAGAATAGAAAGACTTCTGTATCACCCGCTCTTTTCTTTTTACTTCTAAAAGCGATTATTTGTATTATGGAAATTTGTTCCTTGGCTCACCATCTGAGTTCTTAAAGCTATTATTCATTTTCTGCTGCTCCCGGGTATTTCTTTTATTATTATTTTCTTTTTCTTCGCTTTCTTGTTATTAGGCAACTTGCCCGTTAGAATCTGCGAAGTAAAATAAAAAACAACAACAACAACAACAACAACAACAACAACAATCTTGCGAAATTTCCTCCTACTTTATCGGAATCAAGACTTTGGTAGAATTGTGTAGCTGGAAGACTGATTACATGTTCATGTAATATTTCTGAACACGGCGTTCAAACTTTTGATAGCCGTTGGCTTGTTCACATCAGTATCTACACTTCCCAACCATGTTCCTCTGGGACCATGGTTACACAACTGGAATTTAGTGTGTGCAAGCCTTTTTCATAATCGTGTCTCTCGTCATATTAAGAATTATCTTTATAATGGAATTTGATCATAGGAGATAGGACAGAAGCGGAACGTATAATTATTATTATTATTATTATTATTATTTGAAACTCGGGTATTGAGCCAATAATAAAAGTAGAAAGGAAAAGGACATATGGAAACGAGTTAAGAGTAACTATCCACCACTGTAACAAGATACTATATACAGTCAGAAAGTGCAACAACTAGGCACAACACTGACAGAGTACTGAGACATTCGACGTCCTGACACCTAGCTTCAACATATCCCCATAGCGCTAACCGACAGCTTTCCAACTTGGCAGGTTCAAGGTTATGGAAAGACCAAAGAGGGGAAGGCAAGCGCAACGAAAACGAGCACAAGCTAGCACAAGCTTGTTACTGGAAGATAACGAGACCAGTAGGCGATTTTTTTGGAAAAATACAAGACCGTCTCCGATTAGAAGACCGGGCCTACTAAATGAGTATGAGAAAAATAGAAGACCGTGCTCAAAATGCTCGTTTTGTTCCAATCTTATGCTCCATAATGCTCTGATGCCCCATCATCATTCATCACCCAGTTTCATTAGTACATCATCATATAGCCGCCTTTGTAGAATAGCAAAGTTGAAACTGTGCAGGAATTGCACCCATAGATCTACACACCTATATTTTTCCCTGTTAAAACAGGGAAAAATATATGTAGGACTCAGTATAGAGTCCATGCACTATATGATGTCCACCACCCTATATGGAGTCCATTGGTCCAAAATCCACTATACATAGTCCAGGAGTCCACTCAGTTTTGATCAGCTTCATCCTGCCGCGCAATCCCCTATAAGGAGTACACTTTTTCTACAAGTCCCCTATTCACGGTCCAGAAGTCCAGTTTATCCAGTCACGCCGTCCTGTGTGTTGTGCCCGAAAGAGAACAGACACCTTTTCAGTTTTGCTTGCCTCATGGCAGCGCATTCCTTTCTTTACTTCAGCCATGGCTGCCAGTTCTGCTGTGCAGTTGCTGACAGTAATCTGTCTCGAGGTAACCAAGGAGGATAAGGAGACGTTCAAAATCAAATCTGGAAAGCGTCTTGTGGTTCTCTGAAGACGTTTCAGCAATGCGCGGGATGAAAGCAGAAATTGCAGAACGAGAAAAGTTCAGCACAATTCAAATCTGACGAGTCAGGTACATTGACACTCTCTTTCGTTCGACGCCACAAGGATCCCCTGTTTGGCTGGCCATTGCTGCCAGCAAGGCGTTTGAACGGTTTCATCAGAGCGAGGGATGAAAGCAGAAAGCGGAGAACGAGAAAAGTTCAGCACAGTTCCAATCTGACGAGTCAGATACACTGACACTCTCTTTCGTTCGACGCCACAAGGATACCCTGTTTGACTGGACAAGAGCTGCCTGTACCACCGTGTCAAAAGGCTGTCCAACTACATGGCAGGACGATGACTGAGGTAAGGAAGCTTTTACTCGTTTCGACTGGTCTGCTGTTCTGTCGTTATGCTTGAATTTTTTTCCATTTTCAAGGATCGTATCGCGTTTGTTTGATGTTGCTTGAATGAATGCCCTAAAAGTAATCAACCACTTCGTAATAGTCCTCAAGGACTGCAAGGAATTTGCATCAATCGTATACGATCGTCTAGCTATCATCAATTATTATTTTATTTCATGAGAAATGTATTTTTATCCCTGTGATAATTATGTGAACTCCACGACACTCTTCCTCTACTAGGCTCTAGTATGATGTCAAATACAATGGGATCCACAAGCGCAGTGCCAGTGTACTAGTAGTGGTAGTAGGAGGAGGATTTCTTGTATGCCTATGACAAGAAAAAGCTTCTCAAGCTAATACATGTACTCGTATTCCATGAAGTAACCGTTTTGATGTCACAAACATGACATTGTGTCAGTGAAACTGCCTCGTGACAACAAATCATTGCATTTCCATCTTGGGGAAGACTGACTGACTGCAACGCTGTACAGATTGTTTAAATCATCTCATTTCAATTTAGTTGCAGTGAAGTGAAACACTGTGTACACTACATGTATGGTGGTGTGTCTGTGCGTCTTGAGTGTGCACAAACGATCTTATTCCTCGTATTACTAATAGATTATTGTCCCCACCGTCACCTGTTCACAGGTCTTTGTGTGGATGGATTTTCATTGAGCATCACATTCGTTGAGAACTTGGTAGTTGTGTGCTCCCATGCATCATTACGGTACTAAGCGTATCCTTGTGCTATCTACTTGTTGCAGGTGAGCTGATCTTCAGAAGCTTGCGGAACTGAGTGCTGCTGAACATTTGCATGGCCATAAGCAATGGTGAAGCTTGCTATTGCACTCTCAGCATGTGCTAGTATTATGCTGACTACTGCACTATGTTACTCTCTTACACTACTACATGTATGTAAACGTGCGTGCATCCGCCCACGTATGCATTCGTTTCGTATAATTATTTGTTATTCCTCTTGACTTTACGTGTAAATGGGTGGACCTTTGCATGGCTGTTGGAGTTGCGTGTGTATTGTGTCTCTACTCTTTTCTTGGTGTTTTCTTGGCGTTGTATAAATTTGTGTGTGTGTGGTTGTGTGTGTGTGTGTGCGTGCGTGTGTGTGTGTGCGTGTGTGTGTGTGTGTGTGTGTGTGCGCGCGCGCGCGCACAATAATTTGAAAACAAATAATTAATCCTTGGCTCTCCATTATTCTCTTTCGATTATTGGTTTTTTCTAGGTATTTTGTTGGCGTTGTGTGGGTGTGTGCATGTGTGTGTGTGCGTGCACAATAATTTGGCCACACTACATAATTGAGATATTTTGCAGCGTCTGCGAAGAGACCACTTGATTTGAGGATGGTGTTTGTAGGGTTTTTCATGTAATGAAATGGCTGCAGTGGCGCCTCAATACTTATTTTTTATCTTGAGAAGTAAATGATGTAAAGGATTAAAGGGAGAGGCCGTTTTCTGGTTAATATTCACTGCTTACAGCAGATCCTATGTCTAATTTCGAGCTCTGGATAGGGGGTGCCTAATTGGCTGGACTTTATACAGGGAGTGTTGTCCACATAAAGCCTCCTTATAGTTGATTTCAAAGTTTGGACTCCATACAGTTGATTTTGGACCAATGGACTCTATATAGGGGTGAAGCCAATTGGCTGGACTCTATACAGGGAGTGATGTCCATCTAAACTTTGAGCTCACAGTTGATTCCAAGTTTGGACTTCGTACAGTGGATTTTGGACCAATGGACTCTATATAGGGGTTGGACATCATATAGGGGCTGGACGCTCTACTGAGTCCAACATATAGGTGAACAAACACTTGATCATACGCATACTATTCAAAGACACTAACAATGCAACACGATGGTGCAGCACTAGCACATTGCAAGTAGCAATAAGTAAGTTAGACCTGTTCAGTGGTACACATATTTCTTGTCGATGATGTCACCAGCCAGATGACGCCACCCGGATCTCGTGCGCGCAATTTCACGCAATCTGCAGAGAATGTAGAGAAGCACACAGCAGGAGAAGCACACAAAATGGCGCAGAGTGCTTTACTAATAGGTTTTTCATTTGACCCGAGGAGAACACACGACGCTAGGAGACAACAGCACGAACAGTTCACCAGCCACATACCACGAAAGCAAGTAACTTAGTGTTACTCCTGACAAGGCTTGTTTCGTTCCATAAAGATACCGGGAACTCGTCAGAGGAGAAGCAGTGGTTGAATGAATGGGGTTAAACGATACTGGCGCAAGGTGTGAACACTCAGCTAACTCACATAATGTGACAAATCAGCACAAAAGGAATAGTGTGGAATGGAGGTGTTATGAACCCTATCGGACATCACTATCACAAGTGCTAAGTCAATCAGAATGAGAGGGAGATGTACACAGGAATAGGTGGTGCTAGTTTACACGTCACCAAGCGAACTGGGGTGGGGACAAAGAAAGGTGAAAAGTAGATGCCAAGTATTTCGAGCAGCACCTCCATTCTAAACTATTCCTTTTGTTACCAAGAGGCAATGGCAGTCCTGAAGCTGAATTTGATCAAGTGTGTGTGTTTACTTCGCTCTTCAGGCATTGTTTGATTCATTCAGTATGGAGAAAGATACTTCGTTCCAATTGTCCAACAGCCGAAATGTCAATAACGCTGGTCGGATAGCCCAGCCACCTTCCACCATGTCCATGCCGCCAGTCAGGAACTGGGCTGCACTTTCCCAAGACACCACGATGGCAATTGCGGACAACAAGGGTACCGTCATTCTAACGCCGCATTCGTTTGTTTTGCCACCGCAACAGCCCACTCCGTCCAGTGGCAATGCTGAGACGCCTGTGAACGCCGACGTCAGAGGAGATGAGCTCAATCGACATCAATCTGGTGAGGCATCGCTTTGCGTTTCGTTTCTTAATTAAAGTCTGTTCGGATGCAAGCTTCTAGCAGTATAACTTTGCGGCCTGTAGTTGAGCACTACCAGCTAGGCACCGGCGGATTATGCTGTCATAATTATTGCCATAATTTGGTGGTTGAAATATTGCTGCATATTTTGGCACCCTTTCGGTGGTAGGAGCATAACTACATGTACATGATGGTACCATAGTTCTAGTATGTAGGCTACACAATAGACCGATCCCCTTATTATACTGGGTTCGAGCACGGGGGCAACCTCACTCGCGATCGAGCTAGTTTTTGAACGTGACAGCATCTTTGACAGTGTGTTTCAGGTTTGTTTTGGAATGTCTTCTGCTTAGATCAAGTAGTTTGCGATGGCTTCGAGCGGTGCTAAACCTCCTGCTGGTAGGAGCAGAGTCTCCGAGAGAGACATGGACTGTGATGCCGCTGCAGGATTTTTTCAAGGCGCGGGAGGGAACGATCTCGGGCCACAAACAGGAGTTACTCCAGAGGTGAGTTTTTTTGTTGTTGAAATATTCGAATCGCGAATCGTGTTGTGAGATTTATTTTGTGCCTAGGCTACAGCAGACCACATTTCTTTCTCCTTGCGATCGGTGCTGAAGATAATATTAACCTTTTTCTGGTCTGTCTTTTCCTCTCCAGAGCCATCTTCTATGAAGGTAACCGTGGTGCTGCCAAGTCACCAAGTCGCGATCAGCAGCCCTGAAGTGGAAAATCGATTTTCCAACGATCTGGTTGGACATCAGCCACTAAAGTACTTCTGATTTGCCTGTAATGACAACAGCAGCCATCCTTGGACACCTTGCAAAGACAGGAAAAGCCACTGGTGGAAGCGACTGCTATGAGGTGACGATAGCAGTGCAGTGGTGATCGCTGTTTTGTCAAGTCGAAGGGCTAGCCAACCCAGAGGAAGCATAAAAAAACGATGAGCAGTGCGTGTTATTTGTTGAGCGTGAAGAGCTAGAGGAGGACAGTGCAAACACATGGACGGAGTGGATGGTGTTTGAAGAACAGTGTGCTGTGTGCCGGCTGGTGGTGATGGTGGTCTTTGTCAGCATGTATTCGTGCTGCTTCTTGTGCTGGAACAGTTCTCGCCCAGGAAGGCAGATTGCGTGCTCCCTGGCCCTCAGTTGGCTATGGGGCATTTGTTCCAGGAACATTACCCCAGAGCCAATGATGAGTCGTACCTTTGAAAAGTCGAAGCTTGCTGTTAATCGCAAGCGTAGCGCAGTGGATTGCTCCCTCTTCGAAGCACGAGGGCCAAAGCTTGCCGCTGTCTGCAGCAAAGTGTGTGTGCAGTTCTTTCGAACCTATGAATATACCCCCCTGCACGTTCAGAGTGAACTATTTTCTAGTATATTTAACATCCTCAACCCGCCACCACCATGCGCTCTTGGCCGAACTAATGCACGAAGCATAAACACACCAGCACAGCAAGGACACTTCCGTTGACAGATATTGTTTACGCCTCTAGACCGCTGTTTCTTTTCTTCGAGCTCATCGTTAGAGGAGGATAGTAGCGGGATACTAATGATGATATAATAGAAGATGATAGACGGTTTATGGTCCGATATTGATGATTGGAGATCTAAGAAAGCAATGACAGTGATTGTGAAATGGATAATATTATCATGATTATATGCCAGTCTGGTAATGCGTTGTACTAGTGGACAGTATTGAAATCATCACTGCATTCGATGCAAATATTGGTATACCTTTGGTTTCAGTATTGGAAAAAAAGAGTAAGAGAACCTGGTTGATTTGGTTGCATCTGCGACTGGCTACCGGGTGTTGTGATCAGCAATGTTACCATGGGAGAAAATAAGAGCGCAAGGATCTGTTGGGTCTTGTTGTGCCGGTGAGAGAACCCTAAGTGCATGGCAAAATAGAACTGTTTCATCCACAATGCAGAATGTCTTGCGGTACATGGCATTGATGACTGAACGCCAGCTCGCCCAAATGGGGATCATGCCCAAACGGAGGAACAAGACAACTTTCCAGCTCAGCTAGCTATATAGTATATACCGTGAAACGGATGATTAACTTGTGCCACGCATTACAGCTTCTGTCCCATTCGGCCCAGGCTTAGACACATCAATGCCAATAGCAGCTGATCCTCCATTACATGCTCATTGGCGATTTACGGCCACCTCCAACTGTATCCGCCGTCCCTCAGCTTCCGTCTTCGCAGATCTGGCTCGGCGCAGTACATTTTCTCGGCTAGGCTCAAAGAAGTCCCACAGAGCGGTCCAAACACCTGAAGGCAAACCAGTCAGAAACTGGCGCGGCTCAGAGTCTTTCTTTATGTTATTGTACGTAAGCTGTTTTTCGGCTTTCTTCACCCCATCGTCCAACTGCTCCACGAGACTCTGTACACGAGCTCTACTTGCTGCCAACTCCTGATGCAGATGCTGCACTCCCATTACAGGACCAAACTGCACTAAGCCAGGTTCCTTTCCAACTCAAAATGCCGTTGCCTCTCAGCAAAATACTGGTTTGCGAGCATGGGAAGCTCGTGATGCAGATGCACTTCCATGACCGAACTGCACTAGGCTCAGCAAATACTGTTTTGCGAGCATGGGGAGCAGAGCGTCCAGACTCCACTCTCTTGCGAAAAGCAAACCTGGTACCGTAGGACAGCTGTTTGGTTTCCTGGACTCATCCTGCCCTTGTAGAGCTGGGCAAAACGATTTCGACTTCGGGATCGAAATGATCGCTGCATCTCAAATATTCAGAGTGACCCTAAAACTACGTCCTTCCTCACGGGGAATAGCCTGGATCCGCTTGCTCCAGGCCGCTGTGGCTCCACACGACGAAAGGAGTGAAATGACTTGTTTGCTTCGTCCTCCTGTTCTGACAGTGAGGAACGCAGCAATGATCCTGAGAAGGCATCCTGAAGTCGTAAAAAGGAAGACGTCTAAACAAAAACAAAACAGCTCAAATCAAAAGTCCTTGTGGCATTTTTTGTAGGCAGGCTTGCACTGCGTGTAGATTTCGCGTGCTCTGCACTTCGCATGCGAGAAGTCACGCAAAGCCGAGGTGAGGTTGGTCGCGTGTGTGCAGCAGGATCCCACGCGACTGCGGAGTTGCCCCCTTGCTCGAACCCAGACAATAATAAGGGGATCGGTCTATTGTGTACAATACACCTGATCAGTGCTGGTGGTCTGCGTGGAAAAGGGTTCAGAGGTCAAGCAGATAGTTTTTTTCAATGAAAAGCATGGCATTACATTATTGTATGCTCAAACTCATCTTCTTCAAAGTTCTTTCTCACACTAATACAGGACTTGTAGCAGAATATGTGTGTGAATCAACCTGTATCAGGTATCCTGGTGCGGACTAGATAGTGACGGGTAGTCCGCAAAACTCCGCGTACATGTACCATTATGCATGATACGAAGTCATAACCGTTCTGGCTCTGGATTGTGGCAGCCATGACTGTGCAGGCTATGGATATTGCTCTAATATTTAAAAAAAATGATGACTGTGTTGTTGTTGTTGTTTTTGTTGAAATCTTTGACATCATTACGTGCATTGTACGTAATATGTGTCACCAAGCTATTACACATAACCTTCCATGTACCACACACTGCATATTTGGCATTATTTGCACGCCAACGTCATACATTCACGTAGGTCCGCTTCTCTTGTGGTTTGCTCTGCTTGACCAAGGGCAGTGCTTACGCAATCCCCGCTAGTGCTACGCTGCATCTTAGTGTATCATTGTAATTTAGAATAATTCTCTTACACAGGCAGTGACTAGGCACTGCCGGATTATGCCGGCATAATTATTGGCATAATTTGGTGGTTGAAAATTTGGAACATAATTTGGCATCCTTTCGGAGGTAGAAGCATAATAACATTATTGTATCACAGTTCTAGTATGTAGGCGACACAATTGTGTACAATGCACCTTATTAGTGCTGGTGGTCTGCATGGTAAAGGGCTCGGAGGTTATGCAGATAGTGTTTTCAATGAAAAGCAGGGTAGAAATCATGGAATACATTTTGTGAGCTCGAACTCGTCTTCTCAAAGTTCTTTCTCACCCTGATACAGTACATGTGGCAGAAGATGCGAGTGAATCAGCCTTTATCAGGTATCCCGGGGTGGACGAGATAGTGATGGGTAGTCCACAAAACTCCGCGTACATGTACACTAAGCTTGGTACGAAGTCATGACGTCTGGATCTTAGCAGCTATGACTGTGCAGGCTATGGACATTGCTCTAATAAGTAATAACTAAACAAATTGAGGTATAGTTGATGTTCGGTAATGATGAAAGGAAAGCTGGAGCTACGGGAGAGATGAGCTGATTATGAGAATTCGCAGGGTTAGGGTGACATCTGTTGGACGAGTATGACGATTACAAAGACAGTTGATCATGACAGTTTTCAAAGGTGAGGAAAAAATCTTTCAAAGCAAATGAATAGAAGAAGTAATGATTTCTCTTTTCCGGGTTGATCTCTAGTATGCATGGACACCTTGGACTGGGGATACTCATGTATTTTGTTGTACTTGCAAGTGCGAAAATGGCACAATTTTCCTAACTTTGAGGCTCCATAAGCACAACAAAGTGAATATGTATCCCCGCGTGCCAAAGCATAATATGAGGATTTTGCGAGCATAATGCGAGAATCCATGAAAGCATAATTCCGTTATTTCGCGGGCATAATCTGCCGGTGCCTAGCAGTGACAGAACATGATATCACTGACCTGACCTAACATTTACAAAGAAAAAGCAAAACACGATTTATAGTGAAGAAAAAAGGATCAAGAAAGCACAAGTTACTAAACAATCAGCTCATGCGATAACGTTGCACGAAACTGACCGCCGGTACGGACGGTCTACAACTAACTGGCTAACAGCTCTAGCACAGCTTGGATGCGCACTCCAACAGCCTGCCAACGTTAATATGAGGATTTTGCGAGCATAATGCGAGAATCCATGAAAGCATAATTCCGTTATTTCGCGGGCATAATCCGCCGGTGCCTAGCAGTGACAGAACATGATATCACTGACCAGATCTAACATTTACAAAGAAAAAGCAAAACACGATTTATAGTGAAGAAAAAAGGATCAAGAAAACACAAGTTACTATAATGTCCCCTGACACCACTAGTCACTAAACAATCAGCTCATGCGATAACGTTGCACGAAACTGACCGCCGGTACGGACGGTCTACAACTAACAGCCTGCCAACGTACTTGGAAGGTTCTAAGTTATAGAAATAACATGAGCAGGGGAAGGTGAGCGCCACCAAGACAAGCAACGAGCTGTAAGTCTTAGCTGTGAAGGACGTTGGCGGATGTTCATGCATGTTGATGACGATACTGGCAAGACCACTGGACAATACGGTCAAACCACGGTTCAAGAACCCAAAGCAACATTCCACACAACTTGTGTGACTCAAAGATGCGAAGATCATGTTATTGTTATGACTTAGAACCTTCCAATTTGGAAGGCTGTTGGAGTGCACCTCCAAGATGTGCTAGAACTGTTACTCAGTTAGTTGTAGAATGTCAGTAACGTCGGTTGGTGCCGTGCAATGTTATGGCAGGAGCTGATTGTTAAGTAACTGGTGGTGTTGGCGGACATTAAAGCGTAACTTTTGGTTTCTTGGTCCTTTTTTCTTTACTGTAGGATTATCCTTTGCTCTCAATCCTAGTCAAGACACGATTGTTGTTTAAAGAAAAAGAAGATGAAACTTGACAATCTGCCCATAATGACAACAAGAACTGCAGTGAAACCTGTCTGAGACGACCGCTCAAGGGACCTTCAAAAACGTGGTCGCCTTTACCAGGTGGTCTCCTTATCAAGGGCCAGTTGACTGCAAATAACATCCCTTGGTCCTGGCTGCAGTGTTTTTCTAGGACAGGTGGTCGCCTTATCCGAGTGGTCGCATTGACAGGTTTTACTGTACATTCATGATAGTCTTATACCCAATACTCGTCTACGCTCTTAGCAATCCGTAAATGAGACCAGCTCACCTAACCTCGATTTTACAGCCTCATCTTTGCGGGCTAGGTTTTTGCTTGCATACATGACCCCAACGCACCTCACACTGTCCGTAAAATCAACTCTCCTTCAGTCCTTTCTTCCTCTTTTTGCTCCAAAATTAACAACTGGCGTTAGACAAAGTTGCCTTCTCCCTTGGATTTGTGTTCTTAGGCCCCAGGATTGTATGTCCCGGGAACCAGCTGTCTGCACGTGAACAGATAGGACCTCTGCCATCTTGGGTGCGTAAAGTGGTATTGCAATAACATGCTGCACGTTCAGACATGAGATAATACCCAACGGTACGTGATAAATTCATGAGACACAAAACACCAGGCTGTGCTGTAGCAGAAACGCTTATCCTATTTTTCGATTTGCTATTTCCACTCTCAATTCTCTCTTTACAGCAGCTTCCGCTCCTGTCACTGCCACAGCAACTCCCAGGGCAACGCCGGTCACGCCTGGAAATGATGTCAGGGTGGGGGTTGGAAAGAGCCAATCTGCTGCATCCACTTCCACAAAGGATGGACCCAATCGAGACACAGGGAACGTAGAGTGGCGAAATCCATATCTGTTGCCAAAGTCAACAGTCATGAAGTTGGAGTGCATATTCAGAACCAAGATATACATATCCAAAGTGGAACGCCAGGAACTGGCAAACAGGCTGAATCTAACGATGAGCCAAGTCAGGATGTGGTTCGCGAGGCGCCGCAAAAAGTTGAGGAGCAGTTTCATGGAGTCAACAACCAATGGTGAGGATATTTCCCATACAACAGGTATGGGCGGACCAGCTGGTATGAATCCTATGTTTGGTGGTTACCACGGACACCTGCAAGCAGCACAACCTGCATTGGCTCAGAGACAGGCTGGCATTTCCATGGCAGCAGCCATCCCACAAATGCCAATGCCAGCACAGCAGCAAATGCAGTTCCATGCATCAGCTATGTCTGGGTCTCATGGAGCTCCACCCTCTGCCATGGCAGCAGCCATACCACAAATGCCAATGCCAGGATAACAGCAAAACGAGTTCCAGGCATCAGCTATGTCTGGGGCTCATGGATCTCCACCCTCTGCCAGGATGCAGCAGCAGCAACAAGCAATGCAGATGCCACCTCCAAGAGCAACGAGTTCATCACAATCTGCATGTACGCACTCCAGTGGCTCGTGTGACATATGTGACATCATTGCCAGAGGTTTGGACTCCAGATTAGCACAGCAAAAAATGCATTTCCAGGTATCAGCTATGTCTGGGGCTCATGGAGCGCCACCCTCTGCCATGGCAGCAGCCTTACCACAAATGCCAATGCCAGCACAACAGCAAATGGAGTTCCAGGCATCAGCTATGTCGGGGGTTCATGGAGCTCCACCCTCTGCCATGATGCAGCAGCAGCAACAGGCATTCCAGATGCAACCTCCTGGAGCACCCGGTTCAGCAGCAACTATGCCAATTCCCTCTTCGTACTCTACTCCTTACTAGCGTTGAGAACTCGCGGCACGCACGCAGGCAACAGAAGGAGAAATTCTTGCTCACACGAGGGACTCGAGATTACGAGATTGAGAGAGAACGAAATAATGAAGTAAATGAAGGTTATCAAGGGCCTGTTACACGAAATACCGTTCGTCTATCATTTAACCATGTCGCATTTGGTTCTTGTCTCGTGGAGTCCCGTGTCTTATGTCATAATTAATATTATGGTCTAAGTGTACGTGCGAGTATGGTATGATGTGTGACGTTTATGGTACAGTATGTGGTGCATGCAAGGGTACGCGTTGTCAGAGTGTGAGAATCTGCTTCCGTGTGACAGTGACTGTCAAGTGAATGCTGTACATGGGCAATGCTAATTTGGACTGGGAGTGAGAGTGATGTGTGATTCGTCCGTGGTCTAGTTGTCTTGGTCTTGGTCATGTGTTCTGTACGTAATTGGTCCCTGATTGGTCGTCCCGATTTGTCGTCTCTTTATTACTGCTTGTTCTTTGTTGTTTCTTGGTGTTTTTTCCTTGTCTTTTTGTCGTGTATTGTTTTCTTCTTTCTCCTCCTGCGCCCTCACCGTTTATTATTAATTTTTTATAATATTTTCAATACGAAAGTCCACTATATTCCCGAGTATGTGCGAGAAGTGGTAGCGGGGCCAGGCTGCTCTGCCGACCTTAAATGTCTCGACGTCTACGCAGACAAAGCGCGCCATAATGCAGCAAAACCATGAGGAGGGGAGGAAGAGAGGAAATGAATAATACTGTAGTGAGGAACGAAGACAATGGGTAGATGGTCGTGAGAGATGCAGAGTGAAAGATAACGTCACATTGTGGTAGGGGGGGGGGGGGGGTGTTAGTGAGGCGCTGGTCTAAACCGTTTCATAGGGCGTCGGTGGTTGCTTGCCAGTCCAAGTGCAGCAGATACTTGTCGCATTTTTCCTTGAAGGATTGGAGCTGTTTGGAATGCGGCCGTTCTGGTAGAATGGTCGCTGGTAAGCTGTTCCACAAAGGAATGATGCAGTCTGGGTAGGAACCCTGGAGGCTGCTACGAATGCGCACGGGCAGCGCCGACTTGAGCTGGAGCGGGTGGCAGTTGGCAGTCTCCGTGGGTAACCTAGTGGATCGACCACCCACTAGCTGGAGTTGGGAGGATGGGCTTCAGGGGGCTTGTTGTTAGAAGGTAGGATAGCTTGAAAGTGAACGAAAGCGCAGCAAACAGTGGGCGGTGTTTCAGGCTGGGGAGCCAGGCGCCTGGGCCAATCACCTTCAGTGCCTTGAGCTGTATGTTGTCCAGCCTCGAAGTGCATGACCCCATCCCCACCAGGCAGCAGTATTCCATTGTTGGCCGCACGAAGCCTTTGTAGACTGCCGTGCGGCCGCTAGAGGCCAACAGGTGTGCAACTTTTCTCAGTAAGTGTAGGCGTTGGGCAGCCTTTGAGGCCACGGCGCGGAGGTGTGATGAGTAGGACAGTTGCGAGTCGAATGTCATGTCCAGAAATTCAATTTCCTTCTCTTCAGGAACAGTCACTCCATTGAAGAGCGCTGGGGGAGGCTTGCGGCGGTCGATGATGAGGGCCTGAGATTTGGATGGCTCGAAGGTGACCTTCCACTTGGAACCCCAGTGGGAGACGGCGTCCACTGCTTCCTGGAGTTGTGCTGCAGAGTCGGATATGCGGGCGGTGGCAGAGATGCACTGATACAGTGTCGTGTCATCTGCATAGGTGGCAAGCTCAGCACAAGCAGGCAAGATGTCCTCGCAGTCATTTACGTGCAGGAGGAATAACGTAGGTCCAAGGATGCTACCTTGTGGTACCCCTGCTTGGATATGGTGTCAGCATGCGCCGCTTACTTCCGCACCATGCTCTCCTTATTTCAATGTGCACTGCAGCCATGTAGAACTAGGTGGCGTTCCCTTTGGGTATACATGTAGTTGTACCAGGACCCTATTCAGCATGTCAGCAGTTTCGTCGTTCCTTGCCTTTTGCCTTGCTCCCATTATTTGTCTCTCTCCCTCTTCGTGAGCCGGTTGGTTGCGCTTGTAGATCTCTCTGCGTTTTGCAGTTATGATTCCCGTTTCAATCAAATCGTTGTGTGAATACGGGCAAGGACTATGACTGTAAGAGTTGTTGTGTATCACACAGTTTTGCAACGTTTACAACCAGTCACTGTTGCTGTCGCATCCACTCGTATGTCGCATCTACTCGTAGTCCACGTCCACTGATGCCGACCGAGGTAGCTCTCTTGCTACTGTGCTGCTGTGTAATATTGACATGTACCCAGCTAAAGTCTCTGCTTCGTTCAGGGAATTCAGAATAGAAAGACTTCTGTACCACCCGCTCTTTTCTTTTTACTTTTAAAAGCGATTTTTTGTAACATGGAAATTTGTTCCTTGGCTCACCATCTGAGTTCTTAAAGCTATTATTCATTTTCTGCTGCTCCCGGTTATTTTTTTTATTATTATTTTCTTTTTCTTCGCTTTCTTGTTATTGGGCAACTTGCCCGTTAGAATCTGCGAAGTAAAATAAAAAACAACAACAACAACAACAACAATCTTGCTAAATTACCTCCTAATTTATCGTAATCAAGACTTTGGTAGAATTGTGTAGCTGGTAGACTGATTACATGTTCATGTAATATTTCTGAACACGGCGTTCAAACTTTTGATAGCCGTTGGCTTGGTCACGTCAGTATCCACACTTCCCAACCATGTTCCTCTGGGACCATGGTTACACAACTGGAATTTAGTGTGTGCAAGCCTTTTTCATAATCGTGTCTCTCGTCATATTAAGAATTGTCTTGATAATGGAATTTGATCATAGGAGATAGGACAGAAGCGGAACGTATAATTATTATTAATATTTGAAACTCGGGTATTGAGCCAATAATAAAAGTAGAAAGGAAAAGGACATAATTAAACGAGTTAAGAGTAACTATCCACTACTGTAACTAGATACTATATACAGTCAGAAAGTGCAATAACTAGGCACAAAACTGACGGAGTACTGAGACATTCGACGTCCTGACACCTAGCTTCAACACATCTCCGTAGCGCTAACCGACAGCCTTCTAACTTGGCTTTGTCAAATCGCCTACTGGTCTCGTCATCGTCCAGTAACAATCCACATTCTTTGTTCCGTTGGGACTGTAGCTTGTGCTCGTTTTCGTTGCGCTTGCCTTCTTCTCTTTGGTCTTTCCATAACCTTGAACCTTCCAAGTTGGAAGGCTGTTGGTTAGCGCTACGGAGATGTGTTGAAGCTAGGTGTCAGGACGTCGAATGTCTCAGTACTCTGTCAGTGATGTGCCTAGTTATTGCACTTTCTGACTGTATATAGTATCTAGCTACAGTTGTGGATAGTTACTCTTTAACCCGTTTCCATTATGTCCTTTTCCTTTCTACTTTTTTTTTTTTTTTTTGGAAAAAATACAAGACCGTCTCCGATTAGAAGACCGGGCCTACTAGATGATTATGAGAAAAATAGAAGACCGTGCTCAAACTGTGTAGAAGAAAATGGAAGAACGGGGGTAAAACTGTGTGGCGAAAAATAGAAGACCGGAGGGTCAAACTGGGTTGAGAGAATAAAAGACCGTCCTCGACAACAAGACCGTCCTCAATTATAAGGCCGGGTTAGGGCTAGGCACCGGCGGATTATGCTGGCATAATTATTGGCATAATTTGGAGGTTGAAAATTTGGAGCATAATGAGGCATCCTTTCGGAGGTAGGAGCATAACTACATGGTTGTACCACAATTCCAGTATGTAAGCTACACAACTGTGTACAATGCAACTGATCAGTGCTGGTGGTCCGCATGGTAAAGGGTTCGGAGTAGCCCTTTTCCAAAGATGCTGGCCACGTTTTTCGCAACTTTCCGTTGTTTTGCAAGAAATCACAACTTTCTTCATTTTCACAAACTACTTCGCAACTTTTCCGAAAAGGTGTGCAGACTCCCACTCTCTTAACATTGGCCGGTGTTTCCACCGAGTCTTGAGATGTTGTAATAAATAGAAATAATTAATAAATGTTTCATTGGTTCTGGTTGCTTGTAATTCATTTGAAGAGAATGCCCGAAAACTAGTTCATGAATTTTGGAGCCCTTATCGATGATGATCTGTCGACAATGTAAGGACACATAAAAAATAATATGCAAGTAAAAAAATTGTAACTCGGATGGTGAGCCAATTAAATTATTGTGCAAAGAAGAAGGACAACATGTTACGAGTTATGACTAACTGCCATTTTGTCGCACTCGCTGACTGTATCAGATCTGGTTACGTTGGTGGACAGTTAGTCATAACTCGTAACATTTTGTCCTTCTTTTCACAAAAAATATATTACACTCAGTTACTGATTATAGTCATTTGCCATTTGCCTTCTCCATTCTTGTGCAATCATGCATACTTTATTATGTAGGCAGGTAGGTTCTCTTCATCTTATTGTGACATATTTCATGTTACATTGATGAGCGTCTGAACTTCGACCTGGTCTCCCTAGATTTCTGCAAGGCATTTGACAGAGTAAGCCACTCAACTCTCCTCCGTCAAGTCAGCAAATTCTCGGACCATAAAGTCACTGCCTGGACTAAGAGTTATTTGCAGGATCGAAGCATAGCCGTGAAGATTGAGTCATGCATGTCAGTGCCCAAAGTCACCAACTGTGGTGTTCCCCAGGGATCGCATCTGTCTCCTCTACTGTTCGTGATCTACATTAATGACCTACCAGAAGCCATACATCATTCGCACACCTTCTTGTTTGCGGATGATGTCACTCTACTTTTGCCGTACAAAGGCTCTCTGTCAAGTCCTGGTATCCAAGCGGACATTCATGCATGTCAAAACTGGGCCAGGGAAAGAGGCGGAGAGTTTTGGCCCTCAAAAACTTCTGTTTTAAGCTTCCGTTATAAGCCAGCGGCAGCATCATCACCAGCACCAACATCTGCCACCTACACTATGGAGGGTCTACCTCTTCCCAGTATTGACATCCTCAAACATCTGGGAGTTCGCTTCAGTGCAGACCTAAACTTCCGTCAACACTACCTTGACATCAGTCGCAAATTCAAGCAGAGAGTAAGCCTACTTTGTCACATGGCACATCGTCTTACACCGCAGGCCATGATGCTCCTCTACAAGTGCTATGTTAGACCTGTGATTGAGTATAGCGTCGTAGTGTGGTCCTTTCGTCTTCGTTCAAGCGACTTGACTGAGCTGGATAGAGTCCAGGCCAGGTTTGCAAGATCCTACCTTAGGAAACGCAAAATCCAAATCGACTTTAATACACCCAAGCAGGATCTTAATAAAAAAGCTAACATTGAATCCCTTCTTTACCGCAGGCAGTTTTTAAGCTTGGTTACCATGCACAAATTTATTTTCAAGTATCGACGTTGCCTAGCTTCATTCCATTTCAATATCACGCAGAGTGCGAGACGCACCAACAAAATTATTCTCCCTAAAGCAAATACCACATCAAAATCGTTGTTTCTCTTCCAAACCTCCCTCTTATGGAACTGCCTCCCACCAAGACTAACTGCAGAACCATCCATTATTGTTTTCAAGAATGAGCTTCGCAAACTCACTTGCAAACATAGTGCTTCGCTCTCCGGTATGCCTACGCCAT